TTTGGGCTTCGCGGGCAGCCGTGTGCTGACCCACCCCCAAAGGTGCAACGTGTCGGAGTTCATTCCCTCCCTGTCGTGGTCCTTGCGTTCTCGGTTACGGACGGGAGATCTGCTGTGGTGCACCTCACTTGCTCAAAGATTCCACAATAATCCAATCTCACAGCAATCCAGCTTTTACCAATTCCTTCCGCCCGTGCTGGCACTCGTCAGAACTGTTTTCTGACCTCTAGCTGCGGACTTGATTGCAGTGTGCCGAGAAAATGCTGGCCCCAAAAGCTGTGTGTAGCCAGGTGCTCCCGGAGCGGCAGAGCAGCTGCAGACGAGGGGCATAAGCGTAGCAAAAAGTGCATCTTTCATTTGTATGGGATGCAGCAGCTTCCCTGAGTAGGGAATGTAATGGCATTTTGCTGCCCCAGTATATGGGTGAAACCTGCTTGATGGCAGTGCTTGGATGACAGTGCTTTTTTGTGTAGACGGTCCTTGCTAATCAGCAAAACGATACGAAGGTACCAGGTAATATGGCATTATATTCTGCGCTTAGGAGCTAAGGCTGAGAAGCGCTTAGCGCTCTGTTTGCTGGTTCAGGTTTAACGTGGAATGGTGGCACTGTGGAGGTGTAGTTTTTGTATATACTGACACATTTGCAGCAGCTAACTAATTTATATTTATTTGCTTTGCTAAACAGGTAGAAGCAACAGATGCCTGCCAAATACTAGCATTGCGTACCCGTTAAAAGTCTGCGTAGAGTTAACGCAGTTCTGGAAATCCTGTGGATCCATGCAAAGTTTGTCAGTGACTATTGTCCCATAAATACGCTAGCTAGCTTTCAATTGATTTGTTGTATTTTAGGCAGAAGGTTTTAGTAATTTCTGTCACCGGCTAGTATGCTCTTCCCACATCTCAGTAGTATTTAATCACACGTGCTGGTGAAGCACCCTGTATAATTCTTCCTGCCTTAATGGCTCTTCCCAACACCTGCATTCACTAGCTAATACGAATGCTATTTGAATTTTCAAGGGAAGCATACAAAGGGGGGTGTGTGTGGCTGTGCGTGTATGCGATGGTTTCTTTCCTTTAATAAAAAAAAAAAATCAGAAATTTTAGGAGTATCGGACTTGGAAGTAACACTCCATAGTAGGAATTTTCTTTGTAGCAGTGCTTGGCCTAATATCCATGGGATTCTTTTTTTCTTTGGTTGGGGGTTTTGGTTTCTTTTTTCAATAGGTTTGTGGTTTTGCTTTCTTCCAAGTGTGAAAATGGAGACTTCCTTTCCCCCATCTTACTCTTTTTTTTTCTTTTCTTTTCTTTTTTTCTTTCCACCCCTTCACTTTAGAGGAGTAACTGTTCACTTGTTTTGCAGCACTTTATTTATTTGGAAGACTAACTGTAGTGCACTCTACTGCCATCCTTTAAGCTAAATAGAAATAGGAATAATGTCAATTAAGCAGGAAAATATTTTACTTGATTTGGGAAACTGACATTGTTGTGGCTTCAAAAAAAAAAAAAAAATCTTTGAAGCTCATTCCAGAGAGTCGGGGATATGGCTAATGCTTTAAAATGAACGGCGTATAACATTAACGTTATTGCTGACGGGTTTTTTTTCATTTTGGACAACTTCAGGCAGTACTTCTCACCACGTGATAGGAGCGTGGGGACGGGGGTTGTCTTCGCATTTTGCTACCTTAGTGCTAACATTTCATTCCGGAGTCAAAGGAGAATTCCGGGCTAGCGAGTACGTGCAGTTAAAAGCTGCCAAGCGGCAACTTTCTATGTTGAGTAAAATCTTGTTAAAATAATGATCTTGCTGCAGTGGCAGGGCCCGTAGCTGCGAGGGACGCTCCCTGCGCCCGTCCCCAGCACAGGCTGCACGGCCTCGCTC